ACGTAGACACTGAAAACTACGGAGCGCACTATGTGGACCTTGTCATCGGCAACGTGGGACACCTAGACATCGAATTCAACGTATTATTACACCTGAACACCGAAAACTATGGAGCGCACTATCTGGAACCCGTCATCGGCAACCTGAAACACGTGAACATCGAATTCAAGGTATTAATACACCTGGACACCAAAAACTACACCTAGACATCGAATTCAACGTATTATTACACCTGGACACCGAAAACTATGGAGCGCACTATCTGGATCTCGTCATCGGCAACCTGGAACACGTGGACATCGAATTCAAGGTATTAATACACCTGGACACCGAAAACTATGGAGCGCACTATCTGGAACTCGTCATCGGCAACCTGGAACACGTGGACATCGAATTCAAGGTATTAATATACCTGGACACCGAAAACTATGGAGCGCACTATGTGGACCTCGTTATCGGCAACCTGGGACACTTAGACATCGAATTCAAGCTTGATTCATAAGAATCGACTTAAAAATTCCCTAGCGGCAGAATTAAAATTATGTCATGACATAATAAAAATTCGTTGAATTAAAATTATGTCTAGACATAATAAAAATTGGACGAATAATAGTAACCTTTCGAAAGTATAGAGGTTTTAAGCTTGAAATTTAAATTTTATTCATTTTTAACAAAGTTAAAGCTGCTCGAATTTTGCCTATTTTTAAAGATAAATTTAGTGTTCCTTCAATTTTTGTGAGAAATGTATAATTTACTTTTACGTAAATATTATTAATTTTTATGTATTTGTTGTTACTGCTAATTTTGTGAATAATTAAAAAATAAAAAATAAAAATGTTTTGCAGATCCTTGCTTAACACTACAAAATATGTGATATCAGTACAAAATTACCTTTTCCAAAAAAGGTAAAAAAAAAAGTGCCAAGTACACGCAATGTATTTTGTAAATTCAAAAATCTAACCTAAATGGTAGTTTTATATATTTTTCACAAAATTATATTATCTAATTTAACTGAAGTGACATATATTTCTAAAAAAAGATGTGAAATCTTTATTTTCTTCTTCACAAAATTATGTTATCTAACTTAACTCAAGTGACATGTATTTCAAGAAAAGATGTGAAATCTTTAAATTAAATTGCGCCAATTGTAAAGAGAATATGTATATTGCTTTGAAAGATAATTGTTATGCAACTACTTTAAAAAAATAAAACTCAAGTGGTATCTTCGTATTCCTATTCAAGGGTCTTCCTATTCTAAACCCTAGTGATAATAGCTTCTTAATTCTTTTTAACAAATTTTTAATATTACAAAGAATCATTTTAATTACAAAGAATTAAAGAAGTAACAGTACAAAATAAAAATATTTAATTAAAACAAAAAAAATAAATTTTTCTTGTAAAAAAACTTGGCGCTGCTAGACTTTGAAATTTAAACATTAAAATTTAAACATTAGTACTAAGATTTTTGATTAAATAAAAAACAATAAACATAATTTAGGGAAGAATGCGACAGGAGTAAAAAAGCAGCGCCAAGTTTTTTTACAAGAAAAATTTATTAAGTGAAGTAATATAATTTTGTGAAGAAGAAATTAAAGATTTTACATCTTTTTTTTTTTAAATACATGTCACTTGAGTTAAGTTAGATAATATATTTTTGTGAAAAAGATATAAAGCTACCATTTAGGTTAGATTTTTGAATTTACAAAATTATCATAACTCGAAAAAACATAAGTAACAAGTGGTAGACGTAATCTTTGTATTTCGAAAAATCTAGAAAAAACCTAAGCAGTAGTATTTTTATTTCCAAAAAATTATAACTCAAGTGATACACATCACAAAATTACGTTACCTTATCAAAAATGAGTCGTGCTTCAAGTGATCTATTACAATTACAAAAAAGAAATGATATCTCTTTTTAAATTACAGCGCCAATTACAGAGAAAACATACAATGAAAAAAAAATTTGTCAATCCCAAGAAATATTTAGTCCGATACGTTCAACTAAACATTTTAGTTAGTTAACTAAACATTAGTTGAATTAATTTATTCTTGATTGAAGAAACGAAATAAATTGTTAAAACAACTAATATTTAGTTAACTAACTAAAATGTTTAGTTGAACGTATCGGACTAAATATTCCTTGGGATTAACAATTTTTTTTTCTCAGTGTATTTTTCGAGATACAAAGATTACGTCTACCACTTGTTACTTAGGTTTTTTCAAGGTAATTTATTACCACTGTTTTTTCGAGGTTAAAAAATTTTATTTATATTTAAATACAAAGTTTATTTTCAATAGAATAAAAGATTGAATCATGAAGAATTACAGAGGTAACAGTACAAAATACAAATATTTTATTAAAATACGTAAATTTTTCTTGTCAAAAAATTTGGCGCTGCTAGAGAGAGAGAGATTTTTTACAATTGTAAATATTACTTACAGGTGGGATATATTAAAGGTGGGATGCGATATCTGGAGAGACCCGGATGAATCTCGACCAATTTCTACACGCTATCAGAATGATTCTTAACTCCACTAGTTTTTCTTTTGACGGTGAGTTCTACGAACAGATCTTCGGCAGTCCAATGGGTTCCCCCCTTTCGCCTCTTTTAGCCGATATCGTTATGGACGATTTGGAGACTTACTGCCTTCAATCTTTTGATTTTCATATCGAGATTTTTCTTCGTTACGTCGATGACATTTTCATGTGCATTCCGCAATCGAAACTTAATGAGGTTGTCCGTACTTTTAACAACTATCATCCACGTCTCAAATTCACGTATGAACTTGAGAAGAACAACGCCCTGAATTTTTTGAACACGTCTGTTTTTAGACACGGCAACTGTTTGTTCACCAACTGGTATCGAAAACCAACGTTCTCTGGCAGGTATATTAATTTTTTCTCCAGTCATCCTTTGAAATATAAGATTAACACGGTCATTAATTTGGTTAACCAGGCCATACTATTGTCGGATGAACAATTTCACGATGAGAACATCAAGTTAGTGAAAACTATATTGTCAAATAACTGTTTTCCCGACCTGTTGGTGAACAAACACATTCAAAGAAGAATTTCAGAAATTAACAAACGATCGAATAATGAGGATAGCGCTAACAACGAAAGCAGTGCATTTACTCTTGATCTGAAAAATTACATTCCCATCCTCTACGTAAAAACTTTTAGTGAGGGATTACGCCGAACGTTCAAAAATTACGGTTTGAACACCTTATATACGGTCCCTAAGAAAATGGATACACTAATCAGGAAAGGGAAGGATAAATTGGAGATCAAGAGATGCACTGATGTCGTTTATAAACTTGACTGCTCTGATTGCAATGCATGCTATATCGGACAAACGAAGCGACATTTAGAAACGCGTATAAAAGAGCACCGCGCAGATATAAAAAAACCCCCCAACCAACATTCGGTCGTCAGTAGGCATAGAACAGACTCCGACCATAATTTCAAATGGCAGGATGTTACAATCTTACACAAAAAACAAAATTTTAAAAAACGTGAAATTTCTGAAATGCTATTTATTAAAAAACATAAAGAGGCAATCAACTCACAGAAAGACACTGAAAACCTGCCATTGGTCTATGATCGAATAATATCTTCACTTTAAGTTCTCCTTCTATGTTTACTGTATTTTGCGATAATGTATCACTTTAAGTTCTCCTTCTATGTTTACTGTATTTTGTGATAATGTATCATTAGTTGTTCGACCTTCACATGAGACCGTCGTATTTTTCCGACCCGCCACGAATTTTATATGATTGACGCACAATGATCCATGTAAGTCCTATTTACCGATATTCTCGTGAATCTGTTCAACGCGTAATGTTGTTTAATTTTTAATTTTTTAATTTTTTATATATTCTTTTATTCCAGCATTGTTAAAATAACTTGAAAAGGACCCAAAATAGTGGTCGAAACGTCGTTGTGATATGCTTAATAAAACTTGCCAGTCAGGCCGTTTAACTATACCGAAATATTACTTATATTCTATACTTATTCTATACTTAATTCTAATCGCTTTAAAATCTAAACTTATCCTATACTTAATCATAAGCCGCATTATTCACCGTCACACACACACATACACACACATCATTTCCTGCACAATGTTCGCATGATTTGTCATATGATTGACACCAATGTGAAAATGTAGTCTTTAATAAATCATTAAGATCACATTTTTTATAAATTTTAATCTTCTGAGCTATTATATTCGGTTTGTTTTTCTTCTCTAAATTGTTAATGGAAATTGGGACAACTATATTGTTATCAGTAATAATAACTTTTGTATTACCACATGATTTGCACCGACTAGTACAAGTAACTTGATGTTCTACCAGATTTCTTATATAATCATATTTTGTACAAATAGCAGTAAGAAATTCGACGGCATCTCGTTTAATCGAAGAAAAGTATTCTTCTAAACTTTTCCGTATTGCATCAGTGTTCAAATTTTCCATATTATTTTACCTATTAGAAGTTAGCCCCCCACTTTTAGAATTAACATATTTTCACGGTTGTGCTGAATTGTGCTAGGTTTGTGCTATATTGTGCCCGAATATTATAACCATAATATAAAAAATACGAAAGAAAATACTTATATAGATACTTCTATACACTTATTTAATTATATACAGGCTGTTTATGCTTATATTAGACTAATTTTTTTCATTTTTTTTATTGTATAAAGTATTTTTATCATTGTAATCTTTGTATCGTTGTCATAAAAATAAATATGCTCATTAATAAAGCGTCTATTTGTTACGATCTCAATTCAACACGTGTCCTATTTCCGATCCAACTGAATCCAACGTTAGTTCTTATTTCTCTTAGTTCCTATTCCTCGTTTCATTACAGCTGTTGGATCTCTGATCGGCGCCAAATCAGGGATGGTAATTGGAGTCACTGTCGACTATGCCAAGCGGGGCATAGGCTAGACGATCACGATTGCCGGCTCAACTGGACCGGGAGTGCGAAGGCGATGGAGCCAGATATCGCCGTAGAAATTATTGCGAAAAATAAAGACTTTAAAAAGCACAACGTAAAATTAGGCACACTCATTGGTGATGACGATAGCTCCAAAATCGCTGCTGTTTATCGTGAATGCAGTCATCCGGTAGCCAAGTGGTCTGATCTAAATCACGCTACGAAGAAACTGAGCAAAGCATTGTGGGCACAAAAAGTACCAAGGGACGTCATAGAGTATCTGAAATACTGCTTCGGCTGTGCTCTAAAGAAGAACAAAGGTAACGTAGAAGCGACAGAAAATGCGATAAAAAATATTATCCCTCATGCGTTTGATAAACACGCAAAGTGTGGCGAATGGTGCAGATATGCCGAAGACCAGGAGAATTACACGCACAACGGGCTACCAGGAGGTAAAGGACTTACCGGACAGACGGTGAGACAAACACTTGCAGCTATCTTTGACGTGTTTTGGAAAAACGCAGACAAGCTCGCCCCATGTGGCTCTAGTCAACCAAACGAGGCATTCAATTCAAGCGTGTCGGCGAAAAGTTATAAAGCCCATCACTACGCGGGTTCCGAATCGTTCGATTTTCGAGTTGCTGCCACCGTTTGTGAAAAGAACATCGGCACCAAATATATCGTCGATTTAAATAAGAAGCTTGGACTGTCTCCCGGAAAAGTAACCGAAGAATTTCGGAAAAAGAAAGACTATAACCAGCGAGCCAAGCGACGAGAACGAGCCAGCAAGCCCGAAACCAAGAGAAGACGTCTTTTCATGCAGAAGCAGCGGTCCAATAAAAAGAATAGGGCTGAGAAAAAAGAAGGAATTACATATTCGACTAAATGTGGACTCGACGGAATAACGGAACTCATTGATAGTCCTGTAGTAAGCCCAACTGCACCTCAAGACAGTCCTCTAGTTTATTTTGACCTCGAAACAACTGATCTTTCCGTAAAATATTCGGAAATTTGCCAAATTGCAGCCAGATACGAAGATCAGGAGTTCAGCGCGTACATGGTGCCTCTGCGATCTATTTCAAAAAACGCTGCAGAAGTAACTGGCTTGTCAGTCTGCGCAGGTGAAATGTTTCTCCACGGAGAGAAGGTTGAAACAACTCCATTCCATACTGCCCTGCAGAACTTTCTGCAATTTCTAAGTAATATAGGCAAAGACATCACGTTGGTTGCTCACAATGAATTCACGTTTGACGCACGATTTCTAATCAGAGATATACGCGCTTATAATCTATGGGAGGAGTTCACATCAGTCGTTTACGGATTTACCGATACTCTTCTTGTCCTAAAAGCAAAATTGCCTTCTCGAACTGCAGCTAAGCTCAAATTTACGCAAGTCGATCTTGCAAGTGATTTGTTTGGCGAGAATGTTGCAGCCGACGCTCACAATGCGTTGAACGATGTCAGAATTCTCCAGCGAATCGTCGACAAAGCGGAAGTCACACGTCAAGAACTTATGGATCGCTGTGACTGCTATGGTGCAGATAATTGAAAGGTCTGTTTTGAAAAATACAAACAAGGTCGCAATGAATTGCATGAAGGGATCCGTCTCAGTCGGCATGATTGGTAAGATGGCAGAAGCAGGGATTACTCTTGATCTTTTGCAACGTGGCTATAAAAAAGGCAATAAGAGTATAGAGCTTCTACTGGGCGAAGATATTGGAGGACGTCCAAGGATAACAAAAAATAAGAAGATACTCTAAAACGTTTTCTTCGAGGTCAAAAAGACCATAGAAAGCACGCAGAGCACGGAGAGTAACACGTGAATGTCTCCATAATTTTGTCATCGATACTTTTTATAGCTGTACGGATACATTTATAGAATAAATAAGATATATATCAACTTGATTTGAAATTTTGATACCTGTGATAAGAAAATAGATATGACTATAAATATGATTACGCCGGTAAAGAATAAAATATATAAAAATAGAAAAAATATACGTCACAATTTCTACAATTCTGCGATAGTGCCGCTATAGAAAGTACTGTCGAAAAAGATATGTTATCCTTATAACTTCCATTCAACGGTGGGAGAATGGTAGGACACGCGACTTGTGCGTCAGCTGACGCGTGCGACGTTGCCAATAGAGCTCTCGAATACACGTGTATCAGACTACACGTGTAATCCGTGTATTTAAATTTTCCGTGTTTTAAACCGTGTACATCAATTTAAGAAACTTTTATTCACGTGTATCCGTGTACACGCGTACACGCGTACACGTGTACACGTGTATGTGATACGTGTACACGTGTACCCGTGTATGTGATACGTATACACGTGTATTGAAATATGTGTATGTACACGGGTTAAGTTAAAACACAATAAAGCTAAATACACAGCAATTGTTATTGTTATTTATTTACTGGCGAAACAAAGACACTTTAATGTCTAAATACATAGGTTACACGCAACATCTATTGTCAATGTATAAGTGTGTGTGAATAAATATATTTATTATAATAAGCGACATATATATTACGGAAAAATAATATTTATTAATATTTTTTTCTTAACTTATCATAAATTTAGAAAATGTAGAAAATTATATCTATGAAAGTAGACTTCTATTTTGGTATAAAAAAAACTAACATATCTACATTTTCTGGCAGCAAAGAGCTTCTTTTTGAAGTAATTATATTACCAGCCGTTGAGAAACATCGCTCTGAACTTGCAGAAGATGCCGGTATACTCAAATATCTTTTGGCAAGATATGAAATAGCAGGAAATTTATCCTTCCGAGTATTCCACCACTCAAATGGATCCAAATCAAATCTTAGTTGCGGTTCAGACAGATAACGTTGTCATTGGGTATCAATGTCATTATTATTGATTTCTTGTTGATAAAGGAACTCCAAAGCACTATTTTTTGTGGTAACTTTGGAGCACGTGTCTTCGACAGGAGCTACTCCCTGTAGCATGTATTTCACGTGACTTCTAATCTCTAATCTCGCCTCAAAAGGTTCATGATCCAAGTCTTTAAATCTTGGATCCATCATTGAAGCAATCTGTCTCGCTGTAATGTTGTTGGAGGTCCATGTTAAGTCGAAACGTTGTGTGATCTCATTTGCAATTATTTCCTTGGGGTTCTTTATCATTACATCATTCTCATCGCGAATTTGCATGTGGTTCTGAAGTGTCTTTTGTAGGACTGGACGAACCATGGATACAGGAGAACTGTTGTCGCCACATAAAACCGTAGTTGCCATTTGCAGAGGTTTTAACTGTGACAGGAAAATTAGAATCCTTCCCCTCGACATCGACACTCGACGTAATAGTCGACCCGACAGGGCTACCGACTGTATACACATTTACCGACCGCATGTTTGCTGCCCGCGCCGCGCGAGCGCCGGCCCTGTAAACCGCCGAGATGGAGAGCCAATAGCGTGGCTGCATGTGACGGAACATATCGAGCCGCAACGATTAGAATCGAGGGCGCGTGGTAGCGGAACGACCGCGAGATCTCGAGGACTCGTCCGTCGGTCTTCGGCGTGATTAGTCCAAACCCGCGATTAGCTGTCTGCCAGTTAAGCGTTATACTACGAGTATCCAGAGATTGTCTGCGCAATATTGAACGGCGTTGTTTCGAACATCCTCGACGAATATTTGTCAACGTAATATCGACGGCGTAAAATCAGGGTGAAAAGAACGTGTGGCCGTTCTGCGACAACAGAAACTTAACCTGTAATGTAAGTTCAATCAAGTCAATACACTTATATATCGCTTGCTTATCTCTCTGATTTTCTTTTGATTTTTGCAATATTCCTTGGTATCTCCTGTTTCCTGGGTCACCCAATCGAACCGTTTTATGATAAAATTTAGAACTTTGTTAATTTCGGGAAAATTAACTGGCGCCCAACATATCAATTAATTATACTTTAAGCCACGACAGCTCTGACTCAAGCCGCGTCGGGTGAAAGGGTTTGTCGAATAAAAATCCTATCTCATAACAATGCCAAAAGCGCCTCTATGAGTGTCTATTCTCTCTCGTTTATTTCTAAGCTTTCGGCAACCGAAGCTGTGGTACTACGACGATCTGTCAATACATTCACGACAGGGATTCGGTTCTGAAAAAGTCGCTCGAGCATAAAGTATGACGAGTTCTATCTTGTCTTGCAACTCTGTAAAAGACTCATCGTAGGTAGACCGAGCTGCTCTTGTTTCTGTTGAAGCGCGTATTTTGCCACATTTGAGTGTTTAAAGTGTGAAACAATTTTGCTGAATTTCACAAGCAGTTTTTCAATATTACCTCCAACGAGCGCTTTGTTAACCGCTAGCTGGAGACTATGAGCAGCACAAGTGAGACCAAACTTTTCTGAAATTTGCTGGAGTAAGTGAGTAGCGTTTACAATATTTGTGGCATTATCGGTGACTACTGCCATGACTTTCTCATTAATGTACCAGTTAACGAATAATTCCTCCATTCGACTGGCCAAATTTGCTGCTGTGTGACACTCCTCCATTTCGTATACTCCAAGAGTGAAGCATTTAGGAGTCCAATTCTCATCCAACATGTGAGCGATTAGAGTGACATAAGAATGCTGTGTTAAAGAAGACCAGCAATCAGTAGTGCATGAAACAGCAACAGCATCTTTCAGCGCGACTTTAATTTTCTCCTCAACATTATTCTTTAATAGATTCAACTTTCCTTTCCTTTAGATTCCTTTTTTTTAGGGCTTCATCTTTACATGGAGAATAGCCTGGCTCCACTGCGGTCATAAATTGCCGGAAGCCCTCGCTAGAGCAAAAAGAGATCGGCATTTGGTTGATTGCAATCATTTTAGCCAATGCTTGGTGTATGAGTTCCTTTCGCTCTGCATTGCAAACAATGTTGGTTTGTATGTTGCGCTGCTTCCGTCGGCGTTTCGGAATTGATTGAAAAGACGAACTTGATTTGCGTTTCGGAATTGATTGAGAAGACGAACTTGAGTGGGAGACATCAGCTGTCTAATCTTGTTCAATGTCTGTATTGTCTCTAATATTATTTTGTTGTTCTTCAACGCTCGTGTTTTCTTCATGATCTGATGGATCGTGCCTGTAATTTATTTTAATATAAAATGCATTTGTCATTTAGAGTAAATTTATTTCTTTATCAAATTATTAGAGAAAGCCATTTACGGTCTGACTAGATCTTGGTAACCTAATAACATTTTTGTGTGAATTATAGTATACATTTTCCAACATAATAACTACGCGCCAAACATTTTTTCAGTCTTAAGGTGATCCTAAAGCCGTGATCTTAGCCGGTTTTTTCAGTTTTTTTTCTTAACACTAATCTTTTATTGGCTTTATAGAAATGCAAAATTCTTGTCTAGAATTAAAGTACGCATCAAAATCTAGGTCATGGTGGTC